GGGGGGGGGGGGGGGCGTCACAGGAAGTAGGATGAGAATGTTATTGACTTAGGGTATGTTTGATTTCTATTTTCAAAAACAGTTTCTAGTTTTCAAATTGGAACTAAACAAGGTTACTCGGGCAGCTGGTGGAGAATGGAGGAAGGCACAAAGCGGATAGTGGAATTGAGAAAGGAGATGAAGAAGATGAAAATAGAAGATAATGAGAAAAAATCTATCGCTTTCTGTTCTTAAGCTCTTCAAAAACACTTCTTTTGGAAACAATATTCAAAACTTAATACTAAATTTTAGATGAGAAATTGATTGGTGAGTAGTGTGACATTGTTTTAGAAAACAGTTTCTAAAACAAAAAAAAAAAAGAGTGAGAAAAGAATCAAACAAGCCCTTATTGATACCTTTCCCTGTAGAGAGGAGTGATTTCTTTGATAAATTGGTCAGCTGTGAATGGAAGTTCATAGTCCTTAACTAATATAGCTGCTGATTCCTTTTGTGTCATCCCCAGCCTCTTCTTCTCCTCCTTCTCCATGTCCAGTTCTTTCCCATACCTCGCCAAAAACTCATTCAACACACCCCTTGTTGCCCTTTCTGCACACCAATCACCAACACACATGCATGCTTTAGAAACAACCCTAAAGGAACAAAATTGCACCAACACTATAGTTGAAGTGAACAAAAGAGATCAGAGAGAATACCAGAATCCAGAAGGGTGCCATCCAAGTCAAAAATGACAGCCAAAACCTTGGCCCCTTCATTGCAGCCATTGAACTCACAGCAGCAACTCATGTCAGCACCAAATTTAAGGCTATAAATACTACAATGAATAAAAGATCTGTGCGTTTATGGATACCAATTCCAACTTTTAAGGAATTTCACTCTATAAAATGAGTAGTTCCCAAATTGTATGATTATGGGGCCTTTGAAGAAGCTAGCAAACAATGAATGCAAACAAAAGAATCATTATCTAACGCAATCTGAATGGCATAATAAAACCTAAATTGCAGATAGATTAAAAGCAAAGTATGCTGAGTGATATTATCATAAATTCTGGGTTATGTGAAGCATAAATAATCGGCGGTAGTTGATTATGGCGTCACCAGCATGATCCTTTGGATATTCCATCAAATGACGTTACTTAACAAAATTAATTGCCACATCATGTAACCGTTTATGTTACTTAACAAAATTCTCAGTTTTTAAATTATATAAAAATGTTTTTTTTATTGGTTGGAGGATAAAACATTTTTCAATGAGACTATATGTTATGTGCAATTAAACTCAAATCATTTTAACAACTAGTATTTTAGCAAATAATTATAATTTTAAATGAATTATACATATGAATAAATAAATATTATATTTGAATTTATAATTTATATTTTTAATTAATGATAAATAATTTATATTGTAACAAAAAAATTATTTTTATTTATTGATAATTTTTAAAATTTATTAATGTTAAATTTATAAATAATTATCATGAATAAAAACTAAATTATATAAAAAATTGAAAAAAAAAACTTTCACAAACTCTTTCATTAAAAAAAATTCTAAAAATACTATCATCTTCTAATATGATAATTCGTATTTAATATATAAGAATTAATTAAATTTTTATAAATTTGATTAGAATATAATTTTTTTATACTGTAATCCAATTATAATTTTTTTTATTAACTATTATTTTAGCTTATGTATTTAAAAAGTTAAATGTTTAAAATTGGATAAATAAATAAATAATTGATTATATAAAAGAATCCTTATGAATGCATGACATTTAAAAACACTCTAGTGTAATATAGAGTTTACATTTAATATATAAAAATTAAAATTAATTAATCACCTAAAAATTACCTAAAACTATAACCCTGCACTTTGCATGACACAAGATTGTTTATCCTAACAAATGAAATGACTTTGGTCAGAAAAAAAAAAAACAAACAAACAAACAAATGAACAAAAATGACCTAATTAAGAACTACACCTGCCTTTACATAAATATAGCCCCCCACTTTACATGGCACAAGATTGTTTATCCTAACAAACGAAACCACTTTAGTAAAAACAAACAAACAAACAAACAAATGAAACAAAAATGACCTCATAAAAAATTACACCTACCTTTACATAAACTATAACCCTGCACTTTACATGATACAAGATTGTTTATTCTAACAAACGAAATGACTTATATAAAAAAACAAACAAACAAACAACCAAATGAAACAAAAATGATCTTGTAAAAAATTACACCCATCATTAAATAGCCTATAATCTTATTAATGCTTGCATCACAAACGAGAGAATGGAATTATCAAAACTTTGAGTTTGGGAAACTGAATTGGAATGGACATATATGTATCCTTTCATTTTTATTTTCAGTTTTCGCATGATCATATTATGTAAAATTTGTGTCTATCTTTCTCATTCTCCTCATATACAAATTTTAATATGGTTCCACTTTTTTTTTTTATTATTATTATTTTTAACGAGAGACAGACAAAAATAAAATTCGCATGATACTATCGTGTCAAAAGTAAACAAACATTTATGAATTGGAGTAGTTCATTCGTGCAAAACCTTTTACACAAGTAAGAAGAAATAGCAAACCAATATTTGGGATAGTTTATTAATGCAAAGCTAAAACCTTTTACGCAAGCAATAAGGATCTGTAAACCGTTATCATTAACTAGTTATGTAGCTTTCAAGTTCAACCATTTTCTGTCCATCACTTTCAGTGGAATTCATCCTATGATCACTTGGTCATCGTACAACACCAGATAACCTCTTGCATAATTAGTTTTACAGACAATGGCTACATATCACCGAAATATTATCAATAAATAAATAACATCTGTTAAAATACTTTTTTAATCTATATAATTTTACTTATTTTATCTTTCAATCTCTATAATTAAAAATAGACTCTTTTAATCCTTATACTTATCTTTTTCAATCACTTTTGTCCCTATATATTAATATAAATTTTTTTAATCTCTATACTTACAATTTATTAATAATTTTAGTCTTTATTATTAATTTTTTTATTTATAATATTATCCATATTATGTTGATATGATTAAAGTTTAGGATTTAAACAATAAACTTTGTAAGACTAAAAAAAACCAAATTTAAAGTAATTTTATCTAAATAAGAAGATTTATAAATTATATAGATTAAAAAAGAAAAATATTGAGACTAAAAGAATTCATTTTAAACTAAAGACTAAAAAGTAAAATAAATGAAACTATACAAATTAATAAAAAAAATTTAACCTATAAAATGAAGTGAAACTAAATGACTAAAAAATTTTAACCTAAAAAAATAAAGATATAGTCTTTCTATATACACTTAAATATTTTGACCTTTTTATTTAAATTTTCTTTAAGTTGATGTTCAAAATAAAATAAACTAATTGTTTATTTAAATTTCCTTATAACAAAAAAAAAGTGACTTGAAAATATAGGATTAAAGAGAAACGAGCCAAAGAAAAAGAGAGGCGATAGAAAAGAGGGGGGAAAAAGAGTAGAGAATGGAGCCCAAAGCCATGGGGAAAAAAGACAAGGCAAAATAAAGAAGAAAAACACCTTTTCTTTCAAAGATCTTTATTTAGCTTTTTTTTTTTTTAAAAATTATTTCTTTACTTTTAATTAAATTTCTCATTTCTTAAGAACATTTAAAAATGTATTTAACCCAGCTTACTTTAAAAAAATAAAATAAAAAAAAGCTCAAATAACTGAAGATGAACACTACTTGATAATCTTTTGATAAAAACCTATATTATGATTAAAGGCTATTTTCCTGACTTGTGAAACAAATGCTTATTTTCCTGATTGCCAAGTGTTGAGATCAGAAGCAATTAGCAGGAATAGAATTGATAAAGAATGGAAGGCAAGGTTAAACAATCATGGAAGAATCAACCTCCAACATTGCAGTAAAAGTTGTAGCATTTCATTGGAAAAGGAAATACACCATAAGCAATCCTCATCAATCAAATCCCCCACAGACAGGAGGAAAAGGCTTAGGAATGAAATAGGCCATTTCCTGACACCACACAAATAAAAACATACCATAAATATAGCACAAATGGAGTTTCTTTTTCCCCTATCGGGAAGTATGGCCGATCAACAAGAAACAAAGACGAAACAATGGAACCCTATCTCTAGCTAATACACAGATAAGTAACCGGCCCTCATGTTTCATTCCCAAACACATGCATCAAATCCCAAGGAAGTCGCCACCAGCCATCGGACTCACTGCAAAACAAGTAATGAGCTGAGAAAATTGTAGCGATCAAATGGAAGTAAAATTCCAGCTATCACGTAGGAAACAATTACTCACCTCTGCATCATCTGCTCCACCAAGCTTGGCAGTGCCATTCACTTTCTGGGCATCTTCTGTAATAGCAAGTGAGAAAATTGTAGTTAACACGTTAGAAAAGAAGCACTAAAGAGGACTTAATTATCATAATTAAAATAATGCCCAAACAAATAATAGTAGCTACAGTTTTAGAAAAATCATTTTGTTTAGCATCAGAGATCACTATCTCGACGACTTTCTGTGTAGATTAGCATCCTTCAATATCAGTTTCAGGAGAAATTCTTAGCTAGACAGTCTGCCATGTCATCTTAGGCACACAAATCATTACTTGATGTGTAAAAGCACATTTAAAGAAGATGCATTTTTATCATGGACTCCACAACCTTACACATCAAATAATGATTTAATGGTAAACCATGCCTAGCTATCCTCGCTGTACACAACAGATGTTGCCTTTGTCGTATTAACACACCTTAATAGAACTATATAAATAGTAAACCAAAGTCTTCTAGCTATAATTACCTCCATCTTCTGGGATGTCAGAAGTCCACAAAGTCAGGTTGTCCCTGAGAAGTTGCATGATTAAGGTGCTATCTTTGTATGACTCCTCATTCAAGGTGTCAAGCTCAGAAATAGCTTCATCAAAAGCCTGCTTTGCAAGATGACAAGCTCTGAAAATAGAAAATTACAATCACCCACATAAACACAACACAAATCAACAATCATAATTCAGGATAGGAATCAAACTCACAAACCTTTCGGGTGAATTCAAGATCTCATAATAGAAAACTGAGAAATTTAAGGCTAGACCCAATCGAATGGGATGTGTGGGTGGTAATTCAGCCTCTGCTGCAGTGGTAGCAGACTGCAATAAACAAAACATACTAGTTTTAGGTAGGGGATAAAAAGAAGGGGAAACTCCTTTTGACTTTTGAGTAACAGCTGTTCCAAAAGGTACATCGCAAAATATATGTAAGAAAAATAATCATAAATCATATGATAAAAACAGACAGAACCAAGTAAAATGAGAACACTGATTCATTGCTAGAAGGAACCAATTACAAGTTATTTTTTCGAAGCACTACAAACTTGATCGCATCAAAAGAAAAATTGGCAGTACCATCAATAGATGTTAGAGAAAAATAATAGTAGAAAAGCAATCTAAATGAAACAAAAGTTTCTCCAGTTCCAGCAATCAATCCTGCCCCAAAAACTAGAGATTATAATAATTTAAGGAACGCAAATGACAGGTGAGGAAGAGGGTAAATCAATGCAGCCTAATCGGGCATGAATGGTTTAATTACAAACATCATGTGCATTGACAAGAAAGAATACCCACAATCACCAAATACTCATGGACAGCATGTTGCAAACAACAGTTGTTTTGGTTCAATACAAGACCATAACAAAACCATGAGACTATTATATCAACCAAAACCAAAAATGAAGAGCAAAAGAATCCTCTTGAATCCATTGCTAACAGGCAGCACATAATTTCAATAAACCCAGCAAATAACCATCCATAGGATAGAAAACATCATATAAACTGCAAAAACAATATAAATTGTACCTCATATGCTTTCATAGACTGATCAGCAGCTTCCTTCTTCTCATTGCCTGACTTAAATTCAGCAAGATAACGATAATAATCTCCTTTCCTGCAAACAGAACATTTCAACATCCCTCAATCCAGTTGCGCAAAGAAAAAAATCATCAAAACAAAACCTGTGTGACAAAGAACAAGACACGAACGCTCACATCTTATAGTAAAACACAGTGGATTCCCCAGCTGTAGCTGAAGGTATAAGGTGTTCGTCAATCACTCTCATAACATCATTACAGATGTTCGAAAGCTCCAATTCAACCTTCTGCCTATACTCCTTAATCCGTTTCGCATTCAATTCATTCCCTTTTGTCTCTTCCTTTTGCTCTATGGAAGACAAGATCCTCCACGACGCT